TTGAGGGAAGCAATATCAAGTGCTAGATTTTTGCTGATCCGAAGTAAAATAAAAAAAAAAGAATATGCATATGTACAAAGCGTAGAGCACAGTTCTGAGGGTTTGCATCAGGAGAGGTAAGAGCCAACTTCAGACCTTGGCGCCCCCAGAATTTGTCGCCCTGGGCCACCGCCCCATTACGCCCCCCCTTAACGCCGGCACTGAAACTACTCGTGTTCGTGCTATAAGTTTACCGAAATATTTATAAACGGATCATGATGCCACTTAGGTATAAAGAATAAAGCCGATTATTGTCCCTTGATCATTTATTCAATGTAGTAGATACCCAATGTTTTTTCACAAACAGGTGGATTAACTGACAAGAGCTACGATTGGAATCCTAATTATATTTTTAAAGAAAAACTGGAATTATTTATTAGGTCCAATCCTTCCCCTCCACATTGTGATACATCTGCTCGTTTACCGTCCTCATCATCATCATCAGCCTATAAGTGCCCACTGCTGAACAAAGGCCTCTTCTCATACGGAGAAGGTTAGGTTAGGTTACCGTCCTAACACATAAAAAAGAGGCTTAGTTTAAAAAGTCACACTTTAGACTTTAGTTTATTGTTGTATTGAAGTATGTTACTTTTAGACAACCAACTAAGAATTTTGAAAACAAAAATCATATCGCCAACTTAACCTACATTTCTCTTCCTGCAAATGACATATAATCAATAAAATCAAGTTCCATCCATTGGCAGCCTTGAAAACGCATTACACCACGTTATCGGTTTGCGTTTACGTTTTCCTTGCACGTGGGGACTAATGGGGCTTCCTTCCGGAAACAAAGGAAACATGCGATAACCTTCTGAAAGACCTTATTATAGTTCAGTAGGGTTACATTTACAATGATATTGCCGGGCGTATGTTATGAAAATGGGATCGTATTAATTTTTTATCATGAATCTTGTTATTTATTCCTTTTTCTCTCGTTGGTTGAGTGGTCGTTAGCGATCTTCTGAACAAGGGCTCGTTCGAGTAAAGATCTATGTGGGTCCCAGTACGTTATAACATTTGATTAAAAATAGTTTTATAATTTGTTTTGGACTTTTCGTAATATCTGAGCAAGAGAGGTAAGGAGATAACGGTGATTGAGATTAAGACCAATATAAGGCAACTTATCCTCAATTATTTAATATGTATGTATAAATACAATTATAATAATATTCTAAAATAATGTTCTATTGAAAATGACATCCAAAATAAACGTGTGCAAAAATATGAAGTATCTACTAACACATAGTAAATATAACGTGGAATTTGTACATATAGAATTCGTTTATGTGCTTTAGTTTTCTGTCCTGAATTCGAAATCCCGTTTGTGCCCTTTGATCTGTATTTGCTCTTTTAAAATTGGGAAAAAATCGATTTCCTTCATTCAATTCACATGAATCCTTTTCAAGATTTTGAAGGATTCGTAGGCCTATCGTGTATGAGAAAACTATATATTTTGATTTTATCACAAAGCTTATGGACTTCTCCTCTTACCAAAAAGACACCTTGATCTGGATAACAGTTGCCTATACTACGAATCCTGTTAATCACATTTGACCAATCAACCTACGACAGCGTTATTTATTTGGACAATGATACCTAAGTTTTCCCATAATCCAATCAAAATAGTAGACCCAAACACGAAGAAATTAGCGATCCTTACAATAAACCAATTTTCACACATCGGACCATAAATATCTAATAACTTAACCCTTACCACTTGGACTTTCTCTCCGCACCGTATAAGGGTCACAAAGACCGCGTGTTTCCTTGTAAGACAGTGACCGAGTGAACTTCGGTTAACTAGACAGTGAAGGGTTATCGCGGGCCGGTCATCGTGCGATTGTGTACGTTCTGTATTAGAATACGAGATTGCCGGTCTTGGGACCAGGGGTAATTCGGTTTTTGAGGGTTAGGAGGTTCCCTTGCCATTGATTTAATGACTTCTCGGTCTTGCCGGATATCTCCGAAGTCTGGAGATTTGATATCGGCATTCCAAAGTGAGGTTACGAAGGTCAGGTTGCAATTCCATGTTAAATAGTGGAATTTTGCCGCATTTGGTTGGGTGAAGTAGGCTACAAGATAAATGGGAAAGGCTGGTGGTAATGAGGGCAGATGATAAAATGCAGTTTGATCCGAATGTATTTTGCATACTAAATTGTAGCAAGAATACTTCAGTTCCGAGGATACTGGACAAGATTCAAGCTAACTTCTTTAGAAAATGGTTTGAGTTACTTATAATGAAGTTAATGCTCAACAGCACAATTTCTATACTTCCCTGAGATTTTGTATGAAATTAAGTAATTATTGATCTTATAAATAGTTATACTGCAGAATCAAATCAATCATCTTATTCCCAACACTGATCTTATACATTTCTAATGCCACATAATGTAAGAAACCATTACCGCTGTTCACATAACACGTCGTTTCCCACAATTTGCTCAAATGATTGATGTGATGATGCTGTCAAATCACTATGGATAGTACTCGTACTTATGTCTAATGAATAAATGCTGATTTCAATATGGCTGATGGATTTCTGTTAAGTATATTGTTTTTGTAGCAGATTAAGTTACAGTTATAATAGTTACTTCACATAATGGAGTTGGCTCCAAAATTTTTGTACGATCTAGAGCAAAAATAGAACAGATTACATTCTGATACAAGTTAAATGCTTTGCAAGAATTCAGTTACCTCGCATTCTGAAACCTTTTCCTTCTCTGCCTTTGTAATTTAAAACTTCTACTACATTATTTACTGTTTCTATACGTATGTTTTTTATTTCAAAGAACATGTCTTACTCGTAAAACTATCACCTTAGCAGTCGCTCACAAGATAATGACAACATTGTGTTCTTCGCTCATATTATCATCTTCACTTCTACCGACTGCTGTAAGAAGCTGCACTTCACTACAATAATATGCAGTATCAGTTAGACATTCAGCATCCGGTCTCCTAATTGATTCCGCAGTTATTAGCTACACTTCATTGAGCATCGCGGATCTCTTTGTTCATTATACTAAGAGTCAGTAAATCTTTTTCTTGCACACATTTTTGTTTTGCTGCAGAATTAAAATTGCAAATGAGTTTGTTTACACCCGATGTTTCCGCTCTTTAAGATTGTTTTACATATTGTATAGAATTTTTAATAGAACTTGTACACGAGTAAATGTATTTGTTAACAATGTACATATGTCCTCTGCCAAAAAATGTATATTATGAGATGTCTTGTTGAGGAAAACTGAAAAGGATGGTGCATTGACACTGAACCCAAAAAACTTTAGACAAAGGCACTCTAAAGAAAAGAAGAATATCAGTCATTCGTTCAGTTCAGTTACATTATTATCCAATGTTTTTGTTTTACCTTTACCTTAATAGATTTTAATCTCTCCTTGCATACAATTTTACTAATCTCCGTACTAAGGATTTTTATTGTTTACCGGCCGTCTATCGATCGTTACAGTTACGTGCGTTTGCGCAACTTCGATCATATTGCACGCGATTTGCATACAATGGGTGCGATAAGCGATGCCTCGAAGTTTGGCTAATCCGAAATAGTTGCGAGTTCGAGTAGGGTGTTATTTAAAATTATGAGATAATCTGTAATTGGCTGCTCCGTTCGCCTTTACATATGATTAGGGAGATATAATCGAATTCGGACCTACGATCTACATTCCACAAGAATTGTCTGGCTATTTTCTATGCAAATTTTTAAAAACGTAACAATAACTTGTTTATTTCAATGATCAAAGGTGAGATAGGTAGTTTAATTGAATAGTAGTTATTGCCAAAATAGTAAAGCTTGGAAGCTTATATATATAGATAGCTCATTTATTTTGTTAATGATTTTAAGTTTAAATTAATAGGTTCACCTTGAAACTGAACAGGCTCATACTCTTGCTAAACAGTAATCAACTAATCAATTAGTACATTGCAATTACATATTACATACTGCGAATTATTTCAGAAGATTAAATTGCAAGAATGATAAGTGTACATATTTAAAGGATAAGAATAATATTATATAGAATTGTTCACAAAAACAAACACACTCACTTCTATGTCGAAGGGTATTTGAAATTCCTTAGAACGATTTTGAAATAATTACTTTGTATGATTTTCTTAGGAGTGGTCCTACTGTACCAGCAATGAAAGTCAGTACTCTCCACCATTAATCTTGTTTCCAAACATCGGTTTAATGGAGTGTGTAGTTGCATGTACGGGAGCGGTTGCATTCAGATGAGTTGGGCAACAGACAAGCAACAATGGACCGGGTGCCGGGCGATACGGTTGGTGCTTCCGATAGTTACGGTGGCTGCTAGCTTTTGTGGATCAGCTTCTAGTGATGAAACGGATGATAGACTGGGGGTTTTGCGTGTTGAAGGAAATAAAGTGATAGAAGATAGTCCAGATAGAGATTTCGATAGTATTTTCTACATGGATAATATTATTGTTGTTGACTTAGGCCTAGAATACGTCGACGGAATAGGCACATTATGATATTCTTAATCGTCTGTGAGAAAGGTTTCTGGTCCTGAGTTATTTAGTTATGCAGAATTCATAATCATCAGTAATGAAAAAGGAAGATTGGCCAAGGGTTCTTTGGAGAAAAATTACAAATATTTTGATTGTATATATAATTTGGTAGAATCGAACTACTTAAGTGTTACACTAGCATCCCGTAAGAATAGAGCCAGTAACAGTACCTTTAATGACATTGAATTACTTTTTTTCACAGAAAATTTTGTGGGTTTGACTTTGATTTCTTAATTTTGTAATTTTTGTTTGCGTGGGTATTTGACTATATTATTTGTATTGTACTATAGAAGTTAATATTTATCATTAACCATTCAATGCTGGTTTAATTTCTTCAAGTTATTTTTAGAATACAAAAATTCTTTACTATGCTTTTTTTTTGTATTTTGTCCAGTGACTTATAGAGTGATTATCTTTTGTTACAGTTGGTGGTGAATTTGGCGCTAGTAATATATCATGCGTTGGATTACACGCATTCAGAGGACGAGGAACGGCTTATATCGCCGGACCTCGAGGGACTTATCACAGAGATGACGGCGTGTGATACCACAGGTACGAATTAAAACAATATTTGAAAATTCTTATGCCAATAAGAAATTGCTTTTAGGTTGCTTATATATTTTTGGTGAGAATTGTGAGTATTTGTCGCATCTTCTTCTTAGATGCTATAAAAATATCAAGTTGTTTTTGGATACAGAAAAAATGAGGTTAATTTCCCTTAACAAAGAAATTAAAACCGAAATGTTTTACTTTTATTAAATTTTTCTATTAAAACTTAATATTATCAGTATTTTCAATCCAACCAGAAGCTCTATTTTAACATCGTTACGCAAAATGTTTTGCAGAACCCGGAACACAAGGATCCGAAACGATCTCTTAGCAAATCTATTTCTCAACAAATGATTATGTCCAATTACCTATCAGTCATTTTCTGACCACACTCAATTACATAACCGTTATTATTATCCATTTACTACTAATAATTACCCCACGTTATTAGGTTCGTGTGTTTTCGAGACAATGTGCTATTACTTAAAACATTTATAAAAGTTTTAAAATTTACAGATATCTATTTTATTTTTAGGAACATCTCTGATTCATCGTCTCCCATTTTTTCACTTACACTTTCGAAATGCAGAACCCCATATCACTTTTAAAATTTTACATATCGCTTTTTTATTTATTATTCTATGTAGCTTAAGTAATCATTTCATCTCACTTGATACTAGTATTGATACAATAAGTTTTCTCAGAACTTTCACCCTGTTGACCTTTATGTTGTGTCGCGTGTACAACGTGATGAACGTTAGCGATAGTTCAACGACTGTTTACTTATTCAGATTTACATTATTTATCTTCTATTTGTTGATCTTGTTAGAGTTTGTTATCTGCTATCTCGATAGAATAGTTATTCAGAGACGTAAAACATAGACGACATAATGGTCCTAAATTCTCACAAGTCGGTTTAGTAATTAGTTATCTCAACATATTTTTATAACTCTAGATCATAAGGTTATATGCAGAATATAACCAGAATAGTATTCAGGTTCATTGATCTTTAAATAAGTATCACTTTGATCCCAAGCGCCTTTTACCGTATCAACAATGTTCATCGATGCGAATGATTCCAAAATATCAAGATGACTCCCATGCTGACCATGGAAATATAATATTAAACGCATGACTCTCCATCTTCTTCAATTTGTTTTTAATAAATGCAAAAGATTTCGTTTCAAACGTTTGTGAAGTTCCCGCTGAGATATTATTAAAGCCGTGCGTGCGACTGATGTTGGCCAAAGACGTTGCTGGCCCGTTATCTTGGACTTACGTTGGACGACCAACTACACTAATGCTTTTGGAAACATGTTCATCACTTTTTTAAAACAATGAAGATTATTCAATGTCGTCGGTAATGGAGAAATTGATGTTAATGATGACTTTCCCTGACCGATGTATGAAAATAGGGTTATAACGTCTAATGATATGAATTCATACAATAATGATTGATGTTGCGTGTTTCGCCCTTCCATTTTTTCCCTTCAATGAATTTGCTTGGTACCTTGATTGAACTGAGTAAGATGACTATGATGTCTTTGTTATACTTTTATTTTTACTTTCATTTGTAGTTTTCTTACAATAGCTAAAGTAAAATAAGACATTCACACACTAAAAGTTGTGATTACGTACATATAGAATTCTTACTAACATATACACGTGAGGCAAAGTCTCATAGTGATAAAAATAGAATATATGTTTTAGTGTTTGTAAATAACTTAGTTAAGTCAATAAAAGCGTTTATTTTACTGTTTTCAGTTGTTATGACTGTTTGCTTATTGAAACTGTTATTTGTTTGTCAACAATTTAGTAACGAGCTTCGTTATGTAGTCGGTTGAGTAAACATGAATTGGTTCGATGTTGCATATTCTATTGTATTTTCAGTGACAATATTTTGTTGTGAGTTCAGTAGTGTTATAATTCTCTGTTTATATTTCAATTATTCTGATCGATCATGTGTAGCGGTGAATGAAGCGATGCGGTGTTTAGTACATGTATGTTTTTTTTAATCCAGAGTATATACTCATATTTCATATTTAAAAGATATTTATAGTTTTCACATAAACTCATTGTATATCAATCTATAAAAAGTTGTGCCACTTTCATCGAAATATTGAGCTCAACTTCAACACACCATAAACGCTATTATCACCACTTGAAACAATAATTTTCTTCCACACACCAACAATTAACACTTAAACAAAGCGTCATTAAATGCTGTTCCCCATAGAATTGCAGTATAGCCTTGAGAATGTCTTCTCCTTTCCATCCATAGAGATAGATCCTCCACTTAAGGAGAACCTGCTATTTATAGATATCCTCTTCACCGAGAGTTCAATTTATACTAGACAGTATATTTTGATATGCTGGTCGTCTATCATTGTCATTGGATGGGAACTTTAGTCTCCGATATTTATTTTACCATGTTGTTGTTTACTTTTGGGTAAGATTTAATTAACTTTTTGTATCATTTACAAAGTGCGTGTAGGTACCGTAGCACGTGTTTTCTTTATTGAATGTCCGTAAGATGTTTTTGACACTCCTACCCGCTTCATCCACGGTAGGATTATACCTATAAAAAATTTTTCGAACCATAATAAAAGTAATAACCTTCTTTCGACCATTTTACTCAATTTCCATGGTCCGATGACAGTTTTATTTTATTTGCTTGAAATTCGCCTCTTAAATGAGAATCAGTACTTTATCGTTTCAGAATATATCTTACTTTCAAGTGTTTAAAGTTTTTACCTGATCAATGAAAGAAATTCTGAGAACTCGATTCCATGGTACAAAATAAATGTAATGAATTTCTTTCTCATTGCATTCCAGTCCACCAACGGTGTTACTTCCGTCCATTCTCAATGTTGCTTTATCTGAATTGTGTTTACCGAAATACTCTGACACTGTTCACAAGTAATTAGATCAATGTTTTACGTTAAGCAAATAATACCCTTTCTTTATGTTTGAGTATTTTTTTGGAACAAGATTGATCATCGAAGGATTACGATTGTAATCGTTGTAGTGTAACATGCAAAGCTTAGATTTAACATCACGATTAATTCCGTGTATTTGTACGCTAGTGCCACAATTGTTTGGCTGTATAGAAACTTGTACAATATGATATGCAATCATTTCATCGTGGTTCGCACGCCCCATTTCATTAACATACGCAGATTTAGTCGTGTTCTACAAGATTGGGTATTAATTTTCACTTTCTACAACATCGTCGTGTCCACCTTATGCATGCTTCTATCTCAGCCAGACAAGCTGTCTGCGCGATGACATTTGGGCCGCCCCACGACGGTGTTATCAGGGACCTTTGCTCTCGCACCGGCTTGGTTGCCTCCCATCGCGTTTAGTTCACAATGCAATGATACAATTTGTTCCGGCTGTCTTTCACCTCCCTTTCCAACTCTCACGGGCCCACTCAATCTAAATTAACTTGTCATATTTTCTGCTTTTCCCTCGCAAAGGCAGTTTTTGCACAACATCGAGCCGACACAGTCTCGACTCATAATCGAGTTGTAATTTCTCCGACTACATATTTACAGCTTCCTGCAATGTTTCCTATACGCAGAGGCAAAGACGAATTTATCGCCTTTTAATAGCTCACGCAGGAAAGTGTACCGTTCGGTATTGCCCATAATTTTATGCCAATCAAATTGTAAACACCTGGCTGCAGTTGCAATGTCAACAGTTTGTTGTTTATGAATAAGAAAATCTCGCTGTAAAACATACCGCGCGAATAATTTGTGAGTGGCTTAAAGAGAATGTACACACTTGTTCGATCGTAATCGAGAGTCGATCGTGTTGTATCGAGCGCTGGGTTGTCTGATACAACCGGCCCGTCATAAATCTTAAAAACGATTTTGATCATGAAGTTCATGGCCGCTTGTTATTGACGTGTAACTGTTTATTTTGTTACAAGTAAGCAATCGAATCGCATCGAAAGTATCGATCGGTACTAGAGATGCGGGATGTAAATGCTGGTCAGTGGGTCATATTGGACAGGTGAATAAGTTGAGAACACAATGGATGATGTGACTGCTAGCCCATTGTTCGGAAACATCCGACTATTTTTGGTCGTGGAATGTTTAGACGACGACATTATCTTTATTGATCTGACTTGTTCGATACTGCTTGCATGAGTTCGAGGTCATTGGCTTTGAAAGAACTATATTTTTTCTTAATATTTTGTATACTACATTCAAACCAATTATTAATTAGTGTAACACAAATCCATTATAACACATAAATACTCTAATCAAATAATCATCAGCCAGTCGGTAGGTTGGCCAAGCGCAACCATAATTGCGGGACAATACGTCACCACAACACCACAAGGCCGCCACAAAATTATTTCAAAGAGAAAGAAAGTTTCATTTATCTTAAACTTTTATATGCAGATCTAGGGAACAATGTTCACGATTTTCCCACGGCTGCGGTCGTTTTTGTATGGTACGATTCTTTTATAGACGTAAAAGGTTAACGCTGTTTTAAGTAATGATTTGATGGTTCTACGGATTTGGAGATGCGCTTTATGATTTTTAACTCATAACTGTAGTGTTTTATTTGTGTAAACTAGTGTCTTTTCTATGTACACGCTGTCATTTATCCCGAGATTCCCGAGATTTCAAGGCTTTCTTTCTTTATTTTGTTCTTAATTATTATTATAATAATGAGAAAGCATTTATTTACAACACTACAGTTCATTTCACGATGCTTAGTGTTGCCTGGTTCCTAGAATATATGTTACTTAGAACCTGATGTATCCAGCCTCTATTCCTAGCATGTAATCTTGTCTTGTATAACTTTCTAAGAAAAGCCGCATTTGAACAATGAAAAAGACAAACCATTTTGTTCAAGCACATGTCTCATAAAACAATATGAATGGAGAAGATAATGAATGAAATTACGGTAAACTAAGGCTATTGTAACCATTCTTCAAATCCGGATATATTGGACAGCCATACATAATACCGTATCACATGTAATAG